CGAGTGTTTCAAAATGTCAGCGGATATTATCTTTGCCGTAGACTCTTCTCACAGCATTCGATCCGACGACTACCACCGCCAACTGTCATTTCTCAAAGCCATCGTTGACAAGTTCACCATCGGTCAGAATCAGATCCAAGTTGGTGTGGTTTCCTTTGCATCATCAGTACGGCTTGACGTCAAGCTGAACGACTTCAATAACAGTAGAGATCTGAAGATAGCAATTGGCAACATCAAGCAGTTAGATAGTGGCACGAACACTCAGGACGCTATCCATTTCATCCATAGCTTTCTGTATGAGCCACAGAACGGTGGACGCCCATGGGCCAAGAAGCAGATGGTTGTGATAACCGACGGGTTGTCTTCCAACCTCAGTGCTACTCTGCTAGAAGCTTCAATAGCTAGAAGTAAAGGGATTGAGGTCTTCAGTGTCTTGGTTGGGGAAGGGATTGATGATTTCGAGACCAGAGCAATTGCCAGTGATCCGAAAGAACACCATGTTTTCAGAGTTGAGGATTACAAAGCGCTGATGAGCATTCAGAAATCGTTGAGCAGTGCTGCCTGTCAAAGTAAGTTGTAGATTACTAAGTAGTTATTAGTTGTCTTAGTGTAAATTTTTTTTTTTAAATATTATTTTGCATTGATATTAGTTTATTTTTTTGCAGTAATTATTTTTCTTTACGAATTATTGTTGATATATACAAAATAAGTATATCCCTCTCTGCAGCCTAATTTATAGTAGTATTTATATTTCTTGTTGAAGAAGGCATCAAGCAGTTTCTATTGTGTGTGTGTGGGGGGGGGGGGGGGAATTTCATATTTACTTGTAAGATTATATATTAAAACGCTTGATGTTTTGGCGAAAACAAGCGGCCCGTTTCTTCTTGTTCTACCTTTTTTTCTTTAAATTTGATGAAGAGTTCATATTTTTAATTGATCTATACACCATTTTGATGCCTTTCGTGTGTTATTTAAAAAAAAAATAGAATTTTTCTTCTTCTTCCTCTCCCTCCTTCTCTCTTCCCAAACTTTTCATGATGTGCAGCTAATTTTTGTGAGATGAGCGAGCCATTACCAAATCAACTCTCCTTGGTCCTTTTACAACATACTAGAAAATTTACAGTTCTGCTGTAAATCGTAAAGAGTTAGAGGTAAACAAATTCGCGCAAACGAATAATAATAGATGCATTATGAACAATACATAATTGCTGGGACCACAGCATGTTCATACTAAGAGAATTTTCGTCTTAAACGAGTTAGTGTTAACGAATCTTCACTGTGCTATACTTTGCTTCCATGAACTGTGCTTCCAATATGTCCTTACAGAGCACAGGCAAGTCCATGTGTTACATGTCACGTTGCTGTCATTGCTCAGCGCTCCAAATGGTGTGCCATTTTGTATTTACTTACTCGTAATTTCTTCTCAGATCCGATCTCTGGCGGTGAGGACGATACTGACGAGACTGACAGCGTCCCATCTGATGGTAAATATGAAACACATTCTAGTTTTTGTGTACTATTGATTTTTTACGTTATCATACAAAAATAGGGGTGATCGGAGTGACTGCAACAACAACATGGGAATATGACCTAAAAACTACAGGGGAATATGACTTTTGCATACTGTTGGAAAAATACTTGCCATAGTTATTAGCGGAGATTAGATCATCTGAGACCAGGTTTTTCTAGAGTCACATTGTTGCTTTCATGGAAACCGGTCTACCACTGATACGATATTCTCAATTGAGACATTTGCAAGAAAAATGCCGAGAATAAAATCAACCACTGAATTTGGTTTTTCTTAACCCCACCAATGTATTTGATTCCAGACGTTCATCAGATGTTGCCTATCCACCCCCCTTGATGTGTGTCACTGAGTCACTTCACATAGGCCTGAAGGGCACAGTCAATGTTTAGGTAAATTAGGGTTTTCTCTGACCTCTAATCGTAAGCCGCACACACAAAAAACCCACATAACTACACTGTGTAGCATCGAAGGAAACTGTAATCAAGCATTCGGTGATGCAGGGATCTGTACTTTCTCATACTCTCTTTTGAATATGCTGCTCACTTCCTTTGAAATATGTCTTTAGAGATCGGAAAGCTAGCCTGTTCTCATCCATTCTCGAACTGAAGGCAGCTGTAAAATTTTCCTAGACTCAAAGCCAAAACCACGATTAGGAAGGTAGTTTTCATAAAGCTGCTCTTTGTAGATGATGCTGTAATTACCACACACTCAGAGAAGGAACACCAGTGGTAACTATATACATTTTCTAATGCTTTGCTGTGAATTTGGACTAAAATATCAGCAAAAAGAAGTCAGCGATTATGGTACAGAGTGCTAATAATAAACATGTAGTCTACACTGAAAATAAGGTACTGTAGACAGTTGACTACTTTACATACCTGGGATCCATAATTAACAACAAACTATTTCTAGACCAAAAAAAAATCAACGTAAGAAACAACAATGAGAAAATTAACAAAAAAGATGGTGAGAGGGAAAAAAAACGGGGGGGGGGGGGGGGGGGGGTGAAAATGAGACAGAAATTTCATGATTAAAACATAATCTCTTGTCTATCATGCTTGTGTTCTAAGCATTCTTTTTTAATTAGTTAGTCGACAGATTATCCTCATTGGACGTCAAACCAAATGTCGCATGCGAGTATAATCACGAAAGGTTGCACAAAAAGATGAGTTCGCAGCGTTCTAAACGTCTGCTCGATTTTAATACTCAGTTGAATCAAATGATTTAGGCTACCAATCTGTGACGCCACATTTATATTTGTTTCACCAGGATGCAAGAGTAGCTCTGCCGATGTGATATTTTTAATGGACAGCTCCAGTAGTATCTGGAAGCCGGACTTCAACAAACAAATCAAGTTCCTTCAACAAGTAAGTCATCTGGGTATAGAAAACACTGTCTAACTGATATTATGAAGTAATCTTTGTTGATAATTCTGCTGTCTGCTCCATTCATAAAGACCCTGGTTGGAAGAGTTTTATATATACCGTGTACGCTTGTCACATATCGCTCCTGTCACGTGCCTGATTTAAGGATTTCTCCTTAAGAACCAACGGCACTCTGAAATAATTATGTTGAGTCGTTGGCTCGTATTGGTCTAAAGGATATCCCGTGGCCAATATACGCTCAACTTATTTCAGGAGTAGAGCAACTCAAGCTTTGGCACTACAAAATATATAATATTCCTAGGCAAACTTGGCTGGACACCCCCACTACTATAAAAAGGTAGCCCCCAGGTTATGATAGTATACTATCATAACCATGTTAACACAGATGAAAATTATTACAGAACATACATGTATTTTAGACAGCTAAGAATAATGAATGAGTGACACTCCAGTCAATAGTGAAACTTTAGAAATACTGTAATAAGTGTAACACATACATTATATAAGAATCAGCAAAGAACTTCAAGAACCCAGAGTGATATGAAGGATCAAAACTTCAAACTCGATCTGACTTAACGTGTATGAATGTTCCAGAGTCTGCCTAGATCATCCTTATGATGAGTGTGGACATTTAATAGTGAAGCCTGGCAATAAAACTACGATTGCCCACACTTATCTGAAGCCCTGGTTTCTTGAACTGGCTGGATGTTCAGACACTCTGTTGTGAAGTTCAAGACAGTCAAACACTAGATACTCGAACACTGGAGATACACCCAAGCTCATGGAGAGGATCCCAGGTACCAAGTCAAACACTTGGGGCATAAACAAACTGCCGGATAACTGATGATGGAGGTACAACACCCATAATGTTGTCTGTAGACTAAGTGGAGGATATCATTACTTGATGACCACAGTTAGTTTTACAATCTGATGCCCACCACTGGCTTAGACATAGGTGACTTCCATGTAGGTGGTTTTGTGGCCTGCTGATTCACTGCCTGGCCTCCAAGGAAATATCATCCTGTATCAAGAAGGAAGAATTTGCAGTCATCCCAGGGGTTACATGTCAAGCTCAGTTTTTAACATCCACATTAGTAATCATTCAGAGGACAGCTCTGAGGATACTGAGACAGTATAAGTCTCTACATATCATCTCTATTGTTCAGTCAGTAATAGTGAAAGGAGATGAGTGCCAGAGTGGAGACAGATAGACTATCAAACAGAGAACATCAACTCTCCTCGCCCACACGCACTTGTTGATATACATCCCATCTCTCTCTCTCTCTCTCTCTCTCTTTCTCTCTCTCATATATATATATTTTATACCATCCCCCGTCTGTTCACCGTACACCCTTTGTTGTGCTAAAATTAAGCTTTGACTAGAGCCCCGAGCCTGCTTTTGTCACAGTATCAAGCCGGCCAAAGATGACCCAGTTTACATGTGTCTATTAGTCAATACAAATCCCACGTTTGGTTATAGAATAATTACTTGTAGGGTTTAATATCTTTACAAATGGTGTGGGTTATGTAGAGCACAAACTATTTAGTCTGCACAGGGAAAGGTTTAATGTTAGGAGCTTGATCTCTAGACATCAAGAACGGCCCAACTCTGTGCGATCACACAACTGAAATTTCCCTCTATGCAGCAGTAGCTAACTTTAAAAAGACATATTTTCTGGTATTCCTAAACTATAATCAACTTACCCAAGCTTAGGAAATGTCCTAGACACCAAAGGCCGCTTCCTCAAAGCATAGATGTACGATCACATTTGAGAACATCTGTTCTTCTAGGCAGTCAAACTACGTTTAGCGTCACTAGGAAAGAAGTCCCCTGTATTTATGCCTAAGGAGTGAACTGGCTTACAAGAATTTCTGAATTAAATACCAGAAATCTTCAACCTACAGTTGCAAATTTGAAAATGAAGATTTATAAATGTAACTAGAGGGTCTAGAAATGGATATATTATCAAATAAAGGTATATATCAATATAAGGGACTATATAGCTTTCCGGACGGGTTTACGTTTGAAATTCGACTGTCCGCGTAGGAAAGTCAGAGTCACGACTCGTCCATCGTAAAAGGGTTGGCTGCTCACCTCACGACAACGCTGATCATAAAAACACTCAGATGGCTGCTGCGTCTTTGGACAGAGCAAGAATATTCTAGGATGTCGATACGGACAACAGGTAGCAAGTGGACCTGTTAGCAAGAACAAGAACTGACCAACAGAACTTAAATTCAGATGTTATTCTAGACCTGGTTATGTAGTGTATATTTTAGGATGGCAGATCAAATGATGTTGACTGTTAATTTAAGTTCGTTTTTTTTCTTTCTAGGTGATCTCAAGCTTTACAATCGGAAAACATGCGACTCGAGTTGGTGTAATCGCCTACAGTGATGCTCCAATCACACTAGTCAGTCTTTCAGATAAACAAACGCACGAGTATATCCATCAAGCCTTAGCAAATGCGCCGTATATTACAGGAGGTACTAATACTGCATTTGCTATCAAACACGCCAGAAAACTCTTTAAATCCAGTGGGGGTGCAAGATACGACGCTGCCCATGTCATCATAATCCTTAGTGATGGCCAATCAAACAACTTGAAAGAGACAATAGCTGAAGCAAGCCACGCCCATTCAGATGGCGTATACATATTTTCTATCGGGATTGGAAACAAAACTGAGGCCGAAGAACTGATGGCTTTAGCAAGTGACCCCGATGACCAGTTCGTTTTCCACGTCAATGATTATGAAGCCCTGTCTGAAATTAAAGAGCTGCTGGCCATAAAAACTTGCGATGGTAAGATACAGTTGTTCATTAACTTACTGTTCTACGTTGCTGTCATCCTGACTGACTGACTGACTGACTGACTTTCTACCCCACCAGGACATCACACAAGCGATAAACACCCGATGACACAACGTGCCACCATGTGGATGAGGATAACCGTGGAGAGGTCCCAGAAACCGCGTTCAGACATTTGGCCAATTTTATGGCCTGCCTATATTGCGGCCCCTGGCAAAAGCCAGAGTGGGGCTTCAAATAAGAAAAAATTACGTCCTGAAAAGGACTTAAGGACTTGAAGCTAAATACTCTGTCATCCTAATCATCATCATCATCATCATCATTAACACTATCATCATCATTGCATGTTTATAAACAATGCATGTAATCATAGACCGCTACTGCTGGCCGCCTTACACAGTCTTAGGTCATAGATGTGGTTTTGTCCTACGTGTGTCATCCAGCCAAACAACTGGGAATTTTTCGTCAACATCATGCCCCTTCCTCGTCAAAAGTGTCGTTTGTAACTAAGTATTTACGATGCAGAACTGGAAGTAGTAATGATCTATCAAAGGGAGAGAACTGTAGTTATAACAAAACGAACCAAGAGAGACCACTATTATAGTTTTTCTAGATGCATTAGACATTCATGACTCTCCCTGATGTGTTTTTTTTTTTTTTTGGTGCCTGCAATAAGTTATCTTAATGATAATCCTTTGTGTCAATACTTTGATTTATCTTTTCTCTCAGATTAGATTTCACATTTGATTTACATAAATCTCCATAATCCCTCTTGAAGGATGCAATTTTTCGTTTTTTTTTTAAAAAGCCCCATACTAGCTGTTGCTAGGGGTCGAAATATATCCTAACGATTAAACGCGGTTTCTGAGACTCTCCACGTGTGATTCCCATCCACATGCTGGCACTTTGTGTCACCGGGTGTTTGTCCTGGTGGGGTAAAATGTACTTACCTAATTGAATTTGATTTTATGAGCTGACACAATGTTTATAAACAGCCGAATTCTACATAACAGTACCCATCGGTAGACAGGTAGACAGTTTCGCCGTCGGCTGCCAGGTAGACAGTCTCGCCGTCGGCTTCCAGGTAGACAGTCTCGCCGTCGGCTGCCAGGTAGATAGTCTCGCCGTCGGCTGCCGGTTGACTGACTCGCCGTCGGCTGCCAGGTAGACAGTCTCGCCGTCGGCTGCCAGGTAGACAGTTTCACCGTCGGCTGCCAGGTAGACAGTCTCGCCGTCGGCTGCCAGGTAGACAGTCTCGCCGTCGGCTGCCAGGTAGATAGTCTCGCCGTCGGCTGCCAGGTAGACAGTCTCGCCGTCGGCTGCCAGGTAGACAGTCTCGCCGGTCTGGACAGTATTTGGGTCTGTCTGTCCCATCAACACTGCAGGAGTCCTTTTCAGGGCCCTTGGTAGCCTGCAATGCTAAGCCATTTTATACGGCCCACTTAACCTAGTCACAATTATAACCTAAAGCTCCTCTTTTGGGGCTGCTGGCTGGATGTTACGATTTTTTTTTTTTTCATTTAGTAAAGCAAGCAAGCAAGAAATACAGAGCAGTTACGAAATTATATTGATCGCAAATTTAAAGGTCAGACAGTTAGTCTACATCATTCAGTCTGCACGCAATGTGACAACCAGAGAGTCGCAACACGCGTGCTCGATCAGGGGTAGTACCTCATCAAATGAGTCCTAGGAGAAACTAGTCCTTTTTGGGAATGAAACTAAATAAGATAACATGAACGACCGTGGATTTCTCTACGGAAAGCCTCTGTGGATGTGGCAGCGAAGCAGTCACTATATTCCACACAACAGCCAAATAACCTAAATGCAAAAGACAAATCCTATGCGATTTCAAGAGGCATCGTCATAATGAAGGATAATAATATAATGATTACAATTATATGCACTAATTTCTAGGGTTCCTGAGGGTTGGAAAAAATAGAAAAAATATAGAGTTAAATGAGTTTAACAGAAACGACATATGGAAAATCAATTAGCATTCTCTGTTATGTAATGTCCAGATAGTTGTGAAATTGATTCTCAGCACCTGTAAGGCAATACACCGGCTATATTTTAGGCAGAAACCACACTGAGACAGACAGTCTGAGGCAAACATACTTGAGTTTATTATAACTCATGGAGAAGTAGAAAAGTCCATGTGAAAGTCGAGAGTATATCATGTGGTCATCTCTGTTGATTAGATGCCTCTCGAGAGCGTCGAACAGAGCCCTAATTTTATAGGATCAGCGGTGATCCCCAGGGATCTCCGAAATAACTGCCCTCGTGAACTTAACAACGTATCCATGAAATGAACCGACAACCTTCCGAGCGCGAGGCAAGTTATCTTAACCACTTCGCCACATAGAACCCCAGAATTATTTGCAAAAAAAAAAAAAAAAACGATTGATGCAGTACCATGAGCAGAACATGAACATAAATGCCGTAAATAACAAAACATACGTCATTTTTTAGAAAGACTGTGGCCTCTATTCCAGTATGTGAAAAAAGGTACCAGAAGAATAGGAGTGTTCCCTAGATGCCCTTCTAATGTAGACAATTTAAAATTCTATTGAAATCTTTGCATCAGTTTACATAATTGTTTTCTGTTTCTTTCAACAGTTTCCAAGCGTGACTTTCCCAACGATAGATTTCAAAGTAAGTGAAGCGTTGCAGCAGTAATTATCACTATCATAATTGTAATCTAATCACAACGACTCCACTTCCTTTATCACCTACTTCTACAACTAAGGTGTTCCTTTATTGACCATGTCACTTCCTTTTATTCCTAAGGTGTTCATTTGCTAACCCTGTCACCTCTTCTATTACTAAGGTGTTCATTTGCTAGCCCTGTCACCTCCTTCTATTACTAAGGTGTTCATTTACTAACCCTGTCACCTCCTTCTATTACTAAGGTGTTCATTTACTAACCCTGTCACCTCCTTCTATTACTAAGGTGTTCATTTGCTAGCCCTGTCACCTCCTTCTATTACTAAGGTGTTCATTTACTAACCCTGTCACCTCCTTCTATTACTAAGGTGTTCATTTACTAACCCTGTCACCTCCTTCTATTACTAAGGTGTTCATTTGCTAACCCTGTCACCTCCTTCTATTACTAAGGTGTTCATTTGCTAACCCTGTCACCTCCTTCTATTACTAAGGTGTTCATTTGCTAACCCTGTCACCTCCTTCTATTACTAAGGTGTTCATTTGCTAACCCTGTCACCTCCTTCTATTACTAAGGTGTTCATTTACTAACCCTGTCACCTCCTTCTGTTACCAAAGTGTTCATTTATTGGCCTTGTAATCTCATCTAATAACTTTGAGTATATGTTATATCTTTAGCATTTCCAGTGTTTGCACGTGTGTCAGATATTCAACTGGTTAGACATGTCGAATCTTCACGTATGTCAAAGCTTTAACTGGTTAGACATGTCAAATTTTGTTTGTTTGTGGTAAATAACTCAAGTTAAGTGATTTTGTGTATTCATTATGGTAATTGAAACAATGTCCCTTCACGTAATTTGTTGATGAAGGCTTTCTAAACGCAGTGTTAACTTAGTCGTTTGTGTTTGTGATAATACGAAGCTGACTATTTCTAATTTTCCTTTGGTTTGATATCGCTTCGAGTCTTTTGCAGCTGCACCATGAATACATTCCTTTAAAAAACAGTCACAATTTGCTATTCCACATGATTACCAGAACCACAGATAAGGTCTGTGCTTTTTGTCCACCCCATTTATGTGGCCAGCCCATTTCGGTATATGTCTTATTGTCCTTCCTTTGCTCTGCTTATATCAAACTTTCCTAATTGTCATTAAGTTTATTAGTTTAACCCATCTCCAATTTCCCCCTAAAAACTATGCATTGTCAGTATGTGATCTCTAACATGATATCAAAAACAGATATTCAAACCTGACGAAAATTAGAATAGGTCAGATTCATAATATCACAAAAAAAAAAAAAAAAAAAAAAAAAAAAAAAAAAAAAAAAAAAAAAAAACAAACAAACACATAACAAGTGAATTCTATGGTTAGAAAGCCTTTATCAGCACAAACATAAATCTACAATGAACAAAATACATTAATCCGATAGGAGTACATTTCTGTCTGGCTAGAAGAATGAAATGGCACTCTGTAACTAACACGATCAAATACCGGCCCGAAAAATGCCCCGAGCAACTAGACTATTTTTTCGAAGATATTATATAACACTGAATAAAACAGTTCTTGAGAGACTAACGGGATACGGTTATTAGAGTGGCTAGATTTGATTGCGCTGATCTCCATATCGATCACACCTTGGTGATCTTGAGAATTGAAGTGCAACAGTGTCGGTTTAAGGACACCGTTTTCGCACATCGTAAAATGGTGAATGAACTGGTAAGCTAGTCGTAGCCCCGTTTCGCCACTGTTTTTCATACCAGTTTTTTTGCAGATGCTAGCCTGAATAATATTGGAGCTCGTTCCATAATACGATGTATGTTTGTTGTATTTTCAGATGACTGTCCAGCCTTACCAACTGATGCTGTCTTCATTTATGATACAACGGCACTCAGTCGTTACCACCACGACTACGTTATCAAGGTCATTACCGAAATCACAGAGTCCAAAATACTCAATAGTGAAAACCTCAGAGTTGGCGTTATGCGTGAGACTTTCAATGAACCGGTCTCCCCCCTTCACGATATTGAACTGACCAACGAATGGACACAGTCCGACTTCAAAACCCAGTTAGATCCTGACTCCCGAACAGCGTCTGCTGATCTGCTGTTTAGAAAAGCGCGCCACAATTACTTTCATCCCACAATTCATTTTGACAACATATCCAGCAAAAGAACAATTATCTTATTTTTAGACTCGCTTTTGAAAAATCCAAACGGAGCAGCACTGGAAGCAATGCGGCTTCGAAGGTCACATGTGAACATTGTTGTGGTGACTCTTGGAAAACACACAAGAAGGACAGAGGTTGAAAGACTGGCGTCTTCCCCTCATGACACGCATGTGATTGCCATTCCCAGCCTTGAAGATTACCCAGTTGAATCAGTCGTATCAAAACTTACAGATATTTTCTGTGTGCCAGAAACAAGCACATAATACAAACATGTATGTCTAAGATCAAAGAGATGCTAGTAATGTTATTTAAATTATCAGTTAATAATATGTACATATTAATTTTGTTTAATTTAAATATTTGAGTAATTCACGTGTACATTTCTTTTATTTAAAATATAGGTTTATTTGTGTATGTATTCATTTTTGTTTAAAACTGCCATCTTTAAGTCTTTCCTGCGAAATGTAAATCGAGGATAAAATGTATTATTTTAATTCTCAAATCTAGTCTGGAGTCTTCGAATACATTTATAGATCTGATTTTACTTTACTAAATATGTCTCCATTCCAGTCTTTTCTCATCCTGATAAATTTCCAATCCACCTTTTAACAGCGAGTTGAAAACTATTTTGTTCAACATTAGATGAAATAAAGTTTAAATTTAGGTATTGCCTAAGCAATAAAGACTAAATTTAGATTTCGTCTTTATTAGAAAGCATTTTTTTGTGTGTACAGTCTCTGAAATAAAACCCTAATTTGAGCCTCAAATTTATATATATTGGAATCGTCATGGCCTTATCGGCTAGACGCCTGCCGGCGGACTGGAAGGTCATGGGTCTGCGTCCTAACAGAGCTGGACATGAACAAAATGACCCTGACTCCCGGGTCGACTTAGCCTTGAGTGGGTACCATGCGCAGTCATGAGAGGTTAAAGCGGCCGGTGTAATGCTGACATCACCCAGCAAGTGCGGGTTCGTCAATAAACACACACGTCTAGCCCTTTGTTCCTAATATACCTTAATGAGTGTAAAAGGGACTGTTGCTTATTTGTGTGTGTGTGTGTGTGTGTGTGTGTGTGTGTGTGTGTGTGTGTGTGTGATCAGCATAACACCAGCCACCTTTGCTTAGTACCCATTCAAGTCTGGGTCATTTTTGAAAAAAGTCCGGTACATCAGGACGCGAACCCATGACCTTCCGATCCGCAGGCAGTCATCTAGCCGCCAACGCCACTGCAACTCCCACATATATAAATATATATATATACACACACACACATATATGTATCAAAATCTTAACATTTGCTTTCATTTATTGTGCAAATTGTTTAATATCAAACCTAAATGAATTTAAAGAGATGTGATTTAGAAACGTAACAACTAAAGGGGGTGGGTACATTTTCCTTTTGAAAAATGTTACATATATGGCATATGGCAGTAATGGGATCTAATGTAATATAAATTATTATTGTTATTATTATTATTTTTAACCTGGTATGGTGTTCGGTAGCTACATTTTCCCGTTTTTTTTTTTTTTTTTCTATGGAGAGTAACAATGATTTTATTTATCTTATTGCGTTTTGGTTATTATTAACATGTTTGTCGCAAAGTATTTTCTATGATGTCTTTTTAAACTTATTTATAATTAGGATTGAAATCATAAGAGAAAAGGTCAATATAGAACCAGTATACAGAAAGGAAAAGAAACAAAATAGAATGATTTACCGACAAAGAGAGAATGCCGTGCGAAGCTTGACCATACAGGGCATATGGCCAAGCGAACTATGCAGGGTTATTGAATGTGCTATGAACGATGTTTTTACGATCGAGGCAGCCATTATAGCAAGAAGTAGAACTTATCTATCTATCTTCTTTTGCCCCACTAAAACATCACACAAGCGATAAACACCCGATGACACAAAGTGCCACCATCTGGATGACGATCACCCGTGGAGAGATCCCAGAAACCGCGTTCAGCCATTAGGCCATATTTATGGCCGGGCTATATTGCGGCCCCTGGCAAGAGCCAGAGTAGGGCTTCAAATAACTAAAAACTGCATCCCACAAAGGGATGACAAGTTATAAATGCTAGTAGAACCTTATCTCCCTTAACATTTAAAGCGATACAAGATAAAATGAGGAAGAAGAAGATAATTTATTTATTTGTTGTCTGTAAAAATTTAATAAGAAGAATAATATTATTGCAATTTTTATTGATTGTTTATTTAAAGCGATACAAGATAAAATGAGGAAGAAGAAGATAATTTATTTATTTGTTGTCTGTAAAAATTTAATAATAGGAATAATATTATTGCAATTTTTATTGATTCTTTAATTATTACACAAAGATGTTGTTCTGATTGGGGCGCTAATGCTCATGTTTTGATTTAAAACATAAAGGGAATAAAAATTTGTTTCCTCACCTTAAGGGACAGCAAGAGACACCAGGGTAGTTATCTGTGAGACTGTTTCACGCACGCTTATTAGAAATCCCACTGAGTTTGAACGGGGTAGCTAGGATCTGCCTTGCTAAATTAGCAGCCAGTATTCGGCTTTTTAAGTAGCAGGGCGTCAGACCTTTCTTTAGTAGTTCAAAGTAAGGGACTGGGGGAGGGGGGGGGGGGGAAGAGGGTGTCGGTCTAAGCAGCAATAGACTGAAAATATTCGATCAACCACTTAGGGTCCCTCCACTATTAACCTACTTCTGCTTCTTCTTCATTTCCTCTCTTACCACTACGGGTGTCGAGGGAGTGATAATGTCCTGCTTCGTGCTCTTCTGGCTGCTTCGATCATAGTTTAAATGTTCTGTTGTGAATGAGCACGTCTGGCACTGGCAGCAAGGGTTGGGAATAATTATGCTTTCTATGTGATGACTACAAGGCACCTTAAAGTAACTTTAAACTAATGAATATTTTCAGTGCTCATGCACATATAACCTGGTGTTTTTTTTTTTTTCAACGTGTCATTCCTGAAAGCTTTTACCGTGGTTCATTCCCTGAAAATATAGGACATCAATAAATTTTTATCTCTATTCCATGGTACTAATAGTATGATGCTATCAACCAATTCGCTCTTACTCCATTTCGACCGTAATTTGCGTAGACAGTTTTTAACTTCTTTTTGTGGGAAATGTTTTCTGATTGTTAACGTTTGCCTTGGCACCTGAACTTTTTTTTTTTTTTTTCAAATCCTCTTGCTCCTGAAAGATGTTTAACAGATACAGATATCTAACTGGTGCTGTCAGCTTTTCAGTCTTGTCCAGAAAAGTGCGATCTCCAATGCTACCTTGAGATCAAAGTGTCGTTCTTAATTTTGAGCAATATCTTAACTCTTTACGCCCCTGAATCTAATAGCTGTCCTCGTTTCTATGCCTCACTGTTCCTATTGTGACAAGTTACATTAGCCAGTGCATTATCACTGCGTTCATTTCACACTGATAATATATATATATATATATATATATATATATATATATATATATGTGTGTGTGTGTGTGTGTGTGTGTGTGTGTGTGTGTGTGTGTAAACGTAAAATGTTGCTAGTAAAGAACAGATTGTGTTTACACTAACATTAAGTGAATTTTTGTTTTACTACGAGCATCTGATTGAATTGTTAGAACGCCAGGCTGTCCACCCAGGAGACTCTAAGTTCTCAGTAAGGGATCGACGTTTTTCTGTCATGGGAAAAATAGTAACATCTTAACTTGCACTGGTTGTGTCGAGTGAACTAGCCATTCGAGCCTTAAACCTCATGGGATGACCATCTGACCATCACCGCTGTAAAATATTTAAAAAGGACAGTATGTTAACTTTGGGAGAGGTGGTGAGGCAGCGAGAAGACTCGTCTGTGAACCCAATGATCATGGGCTCACATCCCACATCGAGTCTGATCCTTTCCACACACAAAACATTGGCTCACAGGTCCATCCAGCCTATAATGGGTGCCACATCACCCACCCACCCAGTGCCGTTTGGGCTTTGAAATATAGATCTAGCACTATATGCCTGATTCGCGTTAAGGCGCGAAAAGGGGTCCATTACTTTTGACTTTCTTACTTATGTTAACTTTGCACTGGCCAGTACGCCAATTTATTCTAGTCAATTGTCTTTGTCATACGTTTTTTTTTTTTTTTTTTGGTCTCACAATGTGTTTTTGTCTGACATGTGTTTTTGTCTTAAAATGTGATTTTGTCTTACAAAGTATTTTTGTCTTATAACGTGTTTTCACGAAGTCGTTTCTGATGTGAAATTCCATTTGTACACAAACTTGTTAAAGCAAATATATAAATATTCTCCAGCATGTTGTTCTATTCTGTAACAAAGCGTTCCTTCTTTACACTCTTCACAGTAGTGAATGCATTCATGTTTATGTTTGTAATGCATGGAAGCATGCAAATCAAAACGACGTTGATGAATTACTTGTTATTATTGATTATTTATTATACTGAATTTGCATATTCGATGTCGCAAGACTGTATATATTTACAATTTTATTTATGACATGGTATGCGGTGTTTATTATTTACATAATTTTGTATTTATTTTAGGCACCTGTGCCTGCTACTTTTAAAACCATATTTTTGATCGCTGTTAAGATGTCTTTTTGACCAAGTGTAAGCAGGATACCGGGAAATGACCGGGTGTAACACATCGCGCATGGCGCACCAGGGTAGAACATGGTGCGTCCGTTAGGTTGTCCTAGCGATTAATGCTGGAAGGTTGAAAGAGGTATCTGGGATTTGCCTGAGTGACTGGCATCTATTGCGATCTATGAAGTCACTTGGGTGTCAAACACCGTGGGCTGTCGAGGGGGGAGGGGGAGGGTTGGACATAAACGTTTCATTCCCAAACAACATGCAGTGTGTGATTAGAGCTTCTGTAAATCTCACCCACAATGTATTCTTTTCTAGTTTTAATCATAGCTAGTCACAGTATACTAAAAAGTGTGCCTTTTTCTGTATTTAGAAAGCAATACACTCATAGTTTGTGTGTGTGTGTGGGTGTGTGCGTGGGTGTGTGTGTGGGTGTGTGTCGTTATATATAAATGGGCATCCCTGCTAAAACCTTCTGATACTCAAGGAGTTAAGATGGTTATTTAGGTCTAACAATGCATTTATCAGTCGGCCTCTGCGGCTTAGGAGTTGCGAACGCACTTTGTAATGCCAGAGGGCCAGGTTCGATCCCACCTGCGGGTTTCCCGCGTTGTTGTTGTTTCGACAGTGGTATCGAAAAGATGACCGTCCAGAAAGCAACTGCAAACTATTGGACG